CTAAATATAGTCAGAGTACAAGCATTTCATGTAGCACTTGTATGTACCAGCTCAAACTGAAGTCATTACATTCTTCATTATTATTGCTTTTTATTTCAACACTATGTTCAAAATGTTCATTATTACTATTATTTTATTACTAGCTTTACTTTATGTTGTCATTGTTGCCTTTTCTTACAATACTCTGTATTGATACATTCTTCATTATTTTATCACTAGTTTTATGCCATCTTATTATTGTTGCTTTTTATCGTGATAAAAAAGCAACAATAATAAGATGGCATAAAAATAAAACTAGTAATAAAATATGGACCAATCATTAAGTTTTATTATCACTATTATTTTTTATTACTTATTTTACTCCATCTTTTTGTGGACTTTTATCAACCCTATGGGTTAATTGATTTTTCAAACATGAAAGCAAGAAGAAGAAAAAGAAGAAGAAGAAGAATCCTATCACTATCCATTTCAATACCTGAGATAAAAAGACATTTCTCATGAGATATCACATAAGCAGCCTTCAGGCAATCAATGTTTTCTCTCTTTTCATCATCATCAATAAATTGTCTTAAATTACTTTTCATTTCAATGTCTGAATAAGAAGACCTAGAATAAAGAAATTTCTCATGCAATATTTCATCAATTGCCCTAATGTTTTCACTAGTTGCTCCCAAGTGGTCTACGTCGTATAAATGAAAATGATAAATCAATTTCCTTTTGTTGGTCATTTGAAAATAGAAGTCAAGTTCATAATATTTGTACTCATAACCACTGCCAATGTTATACATTACAAATCAATAATAATTGGGTAACAACTAAAAACCATACTTGAAAGTATTTTTTTCATAGCTGTTCATAAAACAAATGTATGTTCTTTAATAGACAAATAAAAAAAATCACCTTAGTGAAACATCTGTTGCATTATTTAGCCTAATTCAGCTTTTATTTATAGAAAAACAAATATTTTACAGGCACTATATAAAGTGGAAGAAAATTCTATTGAAATATGTTTTTATTAATGGCATTCCCATAGTGAATATTTTTTAACTTACTATATTTATGTCCACTGACCAGAAAAGTAAATTATAAATAACTTTGAGAAAATGTTATTTTTATCATAAAAGAGCTGATAAAACAAAAACAAAAATGTTATTTTTTCTCAGGCTGTTATCTTGTAACAAGTAATAAATTAAGAAACATTTCATTCTAAATTTAAATTTAAAAGCAAGAAAATAGACAGTAAAACACATCAAGGTACTGGCAGAAAATGAAATTATTTATTTAGGCCGGATGATAAAAATCATTGTATGAAAATAAAAAATATAACATTTTTTATTACTAATATCATTAATACAATTACACATAATTAGTAATTATCAATATAATTAATACAATTATATATAACTAGTAATTATCAATGTATTTATACAATTATATATAATTAGTAATTATCATTATCATTAATACTATTATATATAATTAGTAATTATTAATATCATTAATACTATTATATATAATTAGTAATTATTAATATCATTAATAAATTATATATAATTAGTAATATCATTAATACAATTATGTATAATTAGTAATTAGTAATATCATTAATACAATTATATAAAATTAGTAATTATCAATGTAATTAATGCAATTATATATTATTAGTAATTATTAATGTAATTAATGGCAGTTACAAATAATTAGTAATTATCAGTACAATTAATTAAATATAATTAGTAATTATCAATACAATTAATACTTTTATATATAATTAGTAATCATCAATATGATCAATGTAATTATTAATATAATTAATACAATCATACATAATTAGTAATCATCAATATTTTTTTTTTTGAGCATTTCACCCCAAGAAAGGTGGGTGTGCCACTAATATGCAAGAGGTTACAGAGAGTGAAAATAAGAGTAAAGACGGGTGTTTGAGGAAAGGATAAAGAGATGGATGGGGATCAAGATCAAGACATCAGAAGATATCGATTGACATTACATTTAAATTTTTGAAGATTATAGTTATCAGAGAAGCAAGTAAGAGGAAGGGAGTTACACTGAGAGGAAGTGCAAGAGAAGAAGCTGTTGGGGTAGAAGTGGTTGCATTTAACTGTTTTGACATTAAAAGAGTGGGGCCAAGATGCCAACCTAGTAGCACAAATAATTTATGCAATTGGGGCACCAGTGAAAATAGATCATCAGAGTAGTTGTCATGAAAATATTTGTAGAAAAGACAGAGGAAAGCCACAGCATGTTTGTGAGAAAGTAACTGTAGATGAGTTGCCAGATCAGGAACTATCACATTGCATATCTGTCTCTGGATTTTGTCTAAAACCTCGAGATGAACAGCGGAAACACCAGGTCATTTATGGCAACAGTATTCAATACAAGGACAAATGGTTGTTTTGTAGATTTGAAGGATGAACTCAAACAAGAAAAACCTTCTGGCATGACAGAGAACCAACTTTCCTTGCGGTAGATGTAGCTATTGATTCAATGTAGTTGTTCCACCTCAGGTCAGTGAAAAACATGAAACTGAAAAGGTGCAGAGAGACACTCTCATGAAGTTGAGCATCAGCCATGCTGATTGATGGCAGGGAGGTTTCTCTATGGTGGGTAAATGAGAGCAGTTTTATTTTGGAGGCATTAACATTTGCAAGCCATTTCCTGCCCCAGTCAATCACAGATTGGAGGTCCTTTTCAAGATCCAATGGCCAGGTTAACTGTCAGCAATGCCGAATTTACAATGGGGACAGGAGTAGATAGTAATGTTGTCTGCATAGATGTCTACTCAAGAACTGATGACATCAGGAAGTTCGTTGATGAAGATCAGAAACAATGTAGGAATCCAGAATAGATCCTTGGGGAACACCAGTGTTTGTATGAAAGGAACTGGAGGAGAACCCATTTAGGACAACCTTCATTTCACGGTTTGAATACAATCATATATAATTAGTAATCATCAGTATAATTAATACAATTATATTTATTAATATAATTAATACAATTATTTATAACTATAATTAATAACTGTCTTTATTTCTGAGATGAGGTATTATGTACACTATTTACATTACTCAAACTATTGTCCTCATCGTTGTTGCCATATTTATCACATTTTGGCCATTGTACACTCCGGCCTTCTTCAGGTGGTTGGAATGTCAAACTGAACCCTTTACCTGGTTAAGGCAGTGGAGAACTTGGAGAGGTAAATTAACAGGAGATAACTGGTATCCATTAAACATGGCACATGGAACTAAAACAGTCTACCACAGTAAGCGAAATAAAGGGTTCAGTTTGACATTCCAACCACCTGAAGAAGGCCAGAGCATACAATGGCCGAAACATTGTGATAAATTTGGCAACAAAGATGAGGAAAATATCTCAATACATAGATCAGTTATAACAAATTTAGTATAGGAGATAGAATACACTGCACTAGAGGTAGTTTCACCAACACCGCACATTGCTACAAAACAAAAACATTAATCTGAAAATTCGAGTCATGTTCTTAATCAGATAGAGACTTTCATATGGATGTCATGCATGGTGCCAAATCTATTCCAAAATATCTAAATTGTCAGTTGTATACAACTTTTTCTCAGATTGATGGTTATCAATGGCATTCAGCGAGTGAAATCTATGGGTCTTAGTGAAAACCATCCTTCCTTGGAAATTGTGGACTGGCATTACAGAATCAAAAAGAACTGTACCAAATAACAGAAACCATATTACTTGAGGAGCAGCAACAGCTAAAATGGATTCCACATGTGACTCAAAGAGAAAATAATGACATCATCAAAATGTTGATATTCCACACTACTTCAAATAAAAAGTTAGGAAGGAAACCCCCGTCAGTATTGGAAACACTAATAACAGTTAATGAACTTTAGAGACCTATTTTCCTGAAAAATTATTTTAGGAGGAAGATTTTATAAACTTCAACACACAGTACAAGCTACTCGGTGAATGAATGCAAATATTTCCTTATAAGGAAATAATTAATACTATCATTAGCATTACCAATTGCGAGTTCAGTCTTTAAGTGAGTTAGTACATGGTTAAAATCAGTGGAAACAAGGAGATCTATAACAGAGTAATACAGAAAAGTAACAGAAAATACCAATAGATATGAACAGAGGGCTGAAAACAATCTATCCCTGAAGAATTTCTTTTGAACTGAACCCTTTATTTAATCTACACCTAAAGGTTACCAAGATTTAAATTTCCTAAAGGTTACCCTAAAGAAGGCCAGATGGTACAGTTATTGAAACATTGTGATAATAACAACATAAATGAGGACATTAATCTGAAAGTAAATGATGATTGTTCTTGATACCAGAAATTCAGGCAGAATATATATATATATATATATATATATATATATATATATATATATATATAGAGAGAGAGAGAGAGAGAGAGAGAGAGAGAAACCAGTTTAGCTCTAGCAGAAGATATTTTATAAAATTTTATAAAAACAACATACCAATTGAGATGAAAATACCAGTTAAGCAAGAAGTCAAATAAGAGGGACAGTCATTTATATAAATGAATTAGGCTAAGTACACTGGTAAGCATGTAGTGTCTGGGTAAACATTAGCTACAAGTTACCTCAACTTTGTACTTAAAACCTGGAGATATTTTTTGAGTGGTTTTTGGAGACAAAAACTGCTTTATATGCCATCAAATATGGTAATTCTGAACTTGTCTAAAAATTATCAAAATGTCAAAATCATCTTACTGCAGATGACACTGTGCTGGTGACTGGCACAGAAAAAAAAACAACACTACTAGACAGGGTAGTAGAAGAAAGCAAGAAAAAGGGACGAATCATCAATTGCAAAAAGAGAAAAAAAAGCAAGATTCATGCTACAAATTCAAGATATCAATATCAAACAAAGTCAGAAGTTGAAATATCTATGAATTATTTTAACAAGAAATTGAAAATGCAACACCGAAATTCGAAATGCGCATTCCAAAAGCTAAACAAAGTAGATAGATAGATAGATAGATAGATAGATAGATAGAAACAGAATGAGATAGATAGATATGAATGGACAAAGATATATAAATATGAATAGACTAAATATATGTAGAGATGAAAAGATACGAATAGACTAAATACATAGAGATGAAAAGAATTAGATAGATAGATTACATAGGAACAGAATGAGATATATAGATAGATAGGAACAGAATGAGATAGATAGATAGATAGATAGATAGATAGGAAAAGAATGAGATAGATAGATAGATAGATAGGAACAGAATGAGATAGATAGATAGATAGATAGATAGATAGATAGATAGATAGGAACAGAATGAGATAGATAGATAGATAGATAGATAGATAGATAGATAGATAGATAGGAACAGAATGAGATAGATATGTAGGAACAGAATGAGATAGATAGATAGATAGATAGATAGATAGATAGATAGATAGATAGATAGATAGATAAACAGAATGAGATAGATAGATAGATAGATATAGAAATGAGATAGATAGATAGATGGGAACAGAATGAGATAGATAGATAGATAGATAGGAACAGAAATGAGGCAGATAGATAGATAGAAACAGAATGAGATAGATAGATAGATAGATAGATAGATAGATAGATGGGAACAGAATGAGATAGATAGATAGATAGATAGATAGATAGATGATAGATAGAGATAGAGATAGGAACAGAATGAGATAGATGATAGATAGATAGATAGATAGATAGATAGGAACAGAATGAGGATAGATAGATAGATAGGAAACAGAAATGAAATAGATTGATAGATAGAAACAGAAATGAAATAGATTGATAGAAACAGAATGAAATAGATTGATAGAAACAGAATGAGATAGATAGATAGATAGATAGATAGATAGATAGATAGATAGGAACAGAATGAGATAGATAGATAGATAGATAGATAGATAGGAACAGAATGAGATAGATAGATAGATAGATAGATAGATAGATAGATAGATAGATAGGAACAGAATGAGATTGATAGATAGATAGATAGGAACAGAATGAGATAGATAGATAGATAGATAGATAGATAGATAGATAGGAACAGAATGAGATAGATAGATAGATAGATAGATAGATAGATAGATAGGAACAGAATGAGAGATAGATAGGTAGAAACAGAATGAGATAGATAGATAGATAGATAGATAGATAGGAACAGAATGAGAGATAGATAGGTAGAAACAGAATGAGATAGATAGATAGATAGATAGATAGATAGAAACAGAATGAAATAGATTGATAGATAGACAGACAGATACAGAATGAGATAGATATGAATGGACAAAGATATATAAATAGGAATAGATAGTTATGAAGAGACTAAGATACATAGAGATTAAAATAATTAGATAGATTAGATAGTAACAGAATGTGATAGATAGAAACAATGAAATAGATAGATGAGAAGAAACCTGTCTTTTATTTAACATTTTAACTCGAAATTGTCACTTGTTGACTCCAAATATATATTTCCTGCTGTGTCAGCATATTTTCTACTTTTCTTTTCTGAAAGGTCTCGCATTACTCCTATGTGATTAAGTCATTAATATCTATAACAGAACATAGTCGCATTTGAAACCTGCAAACACCATGAAGTATACACTTTTTACTAGTTTCTTTTTTATCAATGAGTAAGACGAGAACAATTATTGATTAATAATATGTTAATACTTAAGTTGCCTGATTATATATATATATATATATATATATATATATATATATATATATATATGGGAGAAAAAGAGGTATCAACATCAACAACTTGATATAGATAGAATGATAGATACATATGAATAGACTAAAATATATATAAAAAAATACGTAAAATAGTAACATATACATATATATTGTATACACACACACACACACACATATATATATATATTTGGTTATGTAATCCCAACAGAGATATAAGTTATTAACTAAGACAGATATGAATAGACTAAGATAGATATATAGAAACAGAATGAGATAGATTATTCCTATCTATCAATCTATCTATCTATCTTAGTCTATTCAGATCTATCTTAGATAGGAATAGACAAAGAGATAAAAATCTGAATAGACTGAGATAGATATAGATAGACTAAGATCGCTAGATAGATATGAAGAAACTAAGATAGATAGATATGAATAGATAGATATGTATAAACTAAGATAGATAGATAGATATGTATAAACTAAGATAGATAGATAGATAGATAGGAATAGACTAAAATAAGATAGATAGGAATAGACTAAAATAGATAGGGATAGATAGATATGAATAGACTTAGGAATAGACTAAGATAGATAGATGGATATGAATAGACTAAGATAGATAGATATGAATAGACTAAAATAGATAGATATATACAAATAGACTAAGATAGATAGATATGAATAGACTAAAATAGATAGATATATACAAATAGACTAAGATAGATAGATATGAATAGACTAAAATAGATAGATATATACAAAATAACTAAGATAGATAGATATGAATAGACTAAAATAGGATAGATATATACAAATAGACTAAGATAGATAGATATGAATAGACTAAAATAGATAGATATATACAAATAGACTAAGATAGATAGATATGAATAGACTAAAATAGATAGATATATACAACAGACTAAGATAGATATGAATAGACTAAAATAGATAGATATATACAAATAGACTAAGATAGATATGAATAGACTAAAATAGATAGATATATACAAATAGACTAAGATAGATAGATATGAATAGACTAAAATAGATAGATATATACAAATAGACTAAGATAGATAGATATGAATAGACTAAAATAGATAGATATATACAAATAGACTAAGATAGATAGATATGAATAGACTAAAATAGATAGATATATACAAATAGACTAAGATAGATAGATATGAATAGACTAAATTAGATAGATATACAAATAGACTAAGATAGATAGATATGAATACTAAAATAGATAGATATATACAAATAGACTAAGATAGATAGATATGAATAGACTAAAATAGATAGATATATACAAATAGACTAAGATAGATAGATAAGAATAGACTAAAACAGATAGATATATACAAATAGACTAAGATAGATAGATATGAATAGACTAAAATAGATGAGATATATACAAATAGACTAAGATAGATAGATATGAATAGACTAAAATAGATAGATATACAAATAGACTAAGATAGATAGATATGAATAGACTAAAATAGATAGATATATACAAATAGACTAAGATAGATAGATATGAATAGACTAAAATAGATAGATATATACAAATAGACTAAGATAGATAGATATGAATAGACTAAAATAGATAGATATATACAAATAGACTAAGATAGATAGATAGATATGAATAGACTAAGATAGATATATAGAAACAGAATGAGATAGATTATTCCTATCTATCAATCTATCTATCTATCTTAGTCTATTCAGATCTATCTTAGATAGGAATAGACAAAGAGATAAAAATCTGAATAGACTGAGATAGATATAGATAGACTAAGATCACTAGATAGATATGAAGAAACTAAGATAGATAGATATGAATAGATAGATATGTATAAACTAAGATAGATAGATAGATAGATAGGAATAGACTAAAATAAGATAGATAGGAATAGACTAAAATAGATAGGGATAGATAGATATGAATAGACTTAGGAATAGACTAAGATAGATGGATATGAATAGACTAAGATAGATAGATATGAATAGACTAAAATAGATAGATATATACAAATAGACTAAGATAGATAGATATGAATAGACTAAAATAGATAGATATATACAAATAGACTAAGATAGATAGATATGAATAGACTAAAATAGATAGATATATACAAATAGACTAAGATAGATAGATATGAATAGACTAAAATAGATAGATATATACAAATAGACTAAGATAGATATGAATAGACTAAAATAGATAGATATATACAAATAGACTAAGATAGATATGAATAGACTAAAATAGATAGATATATACAAATAGACTAAGATAGATAGATATGAATAGACTAAAATAGATAGATATATACAAATAGACTAAGATAGATAGATATGAATAGACTAAAATAGATAGATATATACAAATAGACTAAGATAGATAGATATGAATAGACTAAAATAGATAGATATATACAAATAGACTAAGATAGATAGATATGAATAGACTAAAATAGATAGATATATACAAATAGACTAAAATAGATAGATATATACAAATAGACTAAGATAGATAGATATGAATAGACTAAAATAGATAGATATATACAAATAGACTAAGATAGATAGATATGAATAGACTAAAATAGATAGATATATACAAATAGACTAAGATAGATAGATATGAATAGACTAAAATAGATAGATATATACAAATAGACTAAGATAGATAGATAGATATGAATAGACTAAAATAGATAGATATATACAAATAGACTAAGATAGATAGATATGAATAGACTAAAATAGATAGATATATACAAATAGACTAAGATAGATAGATATGAATAGACTAAAATAGATAGATATATACAAATAGACTAAGATAGATAGATATGAATAGACTAAAATAGATAGATATATACAAATAGACTAAAAGATAGATAGATAGATATGAATAGACTAAAATAGATAGATATATACAAATAGACTAAGATAGATGAATATGAATAGACTAAAATAGATAGATATATACAAATAGACTAAGATAGATAGATAGATATGAATAGACTAAAATAGATAGATATATACAAATAGACTAAGATAGATAGATATGAATAGACTAAAATAGATAGATATATACAAACAGACTAACATAGATAGATATATACAAATAGACTAAAACAGATAGATATATACGAATAGACTCAAACAGATATGAATAGTCTGATATAGATTAGCTGACTGCTTTGAACAGACTGATAGACAGACAAATTGATAACTGATGGAAAAATCCAGTGTTCAATTGATTAACAGATTTCAATCTTAGTATATAAAATTGATATCTTTATATAATAAACTAAAAAGAAAATGTGACTAATAAGCCTAGCAAATCACGTATACATATATTAACCCTAATAAAGAAAAGATGAAAGAACCAACATCTGTTTTAATATTAAAAGTAAAATATAACATCAAATATCAAATTCTCATTGAACAAATCACTAGGTTAATGAAAGTAATGTTCCTTTTGAATTCCAAGAAATTGGGAAAAATTATAAAAGTTAAAGTAACCTTAGTGCTTATAGGTATATTGAACGAACAAAGAAATGAAATAGTGATATTATATAACTTACTCTGGTTCCACTTGAAGTAATTCAGTCGGTGTTGTTTCTACTATAAGGATATCCCATGCAGATAAAATTAAATCTAAAAGGCATTAAAATTCTTTGATGCTAGTGCCATTGTAAAAAATAAAAATGAAAATGGTAAAAGCGTCAAAAGAAAAAAAAGAATCTATGATTGTAAATGTTTCATAATGTTTGTGGCTTTCTTTGATAAAGAAGATTGCCTTGTATATGGGCCACTTGTCTATTTTTAGCTGCTCTGACAGGTGACCAGGTAACACTTGTTTAAGCAAAGGCTGTTGGTTAAAACATGACAACCAATTGAAGATCTCTAACTTTTTCTTTTTCCATCTCCCCTTTTCATTCTTATTAACTAAACATGCTTGGAAAATTTTCTTTCTTTTTTTTTCTTTCTTTTATATTTTTCTCTTCTTTTTACTTTAATTTTCTTTCATTTTTCTTTATTCATTTTATTTTATTCTTGCTTATTAACTTACCATGCTTAGAAATTTTTTTTTTTGTTTTGTTTTTTTCTTTCTCTTTCTTTTTTTTCATCCTTTTCTTTTCTTTCTTTTTCTTTCCTTTTCCATTTCTTTCCCTTTATTTTATGTTTTCTTTTTCTTTCCTTTTGTTTTTCTTTTCTTTTTCCTTTCAGGTTTTCTTTTTTATTTTATCTTTTCTTTTTCTTATTTTTTCTTTTTCTTTTCTATTTCCTTTTTCCATTTTTTTTTTTACTTCTTTCTTTTTTTTTTCCTTTCTTTGCTTTTTCAGTTTCCTTTTTTCCTTTTCTTTTTTATCTTTTCTTTCCTTTCTTATTTTTTCTTTTTTTTTCTAGTTTCCTTTTTCCTTTCTTTTCTTCTTTCTTTTCCCCTTTCTTTGCTTTTCCTTTTGTTTTTTTCATGGGTTTCATTAAAAGGAATTGTAGGATTGATATATCAAAAGTTATATAAATGCATGGTGAAAGTTAATATTTATTTGTTTTTACTAGTTTGTCACAAGGCCTCCATAATGTAGTACTTAGTAATAGCTAAGATTACTACACCAGTGAATAGCGTGCAATAGTTTTACTAACTGCTGCTCCATGGCTAGAACATATATATTATAAAGGGCATTTTTCTTGATATTTACATAACACCCCTACACGCAAGCTGGTAGTGCTTAGTGAGCGGACCGCCACTGGCAACACCAGTGGTACTCTGGTGGCAGCCACCAACATGCCATCAGTGGGCCTCTAGAGGCCCGCCAGTGGTAACATTGCCGAGATTAACACGTCACCAGCAGGCCACCAGTAGTAAATGCTAGTGGCATGCCATCCAGAGGCAGATGAGTGGCTTGCGTGTAGGAACTTGGCTCAAGCTAAAATGGAGATAATGATGATAGGGGCGAACCATTGTTTTAGGTGGAGAAGTTCTGACTGCCGAGAAAATCAGCATTCAAAATTCTCACTGTTACATGAAGCTGGACACGGGTCTCTGACACTGGCTGGAAATCAGTAACTATTTCAGCTTTAAGTAAAACTAAAAAGCCTGCTCAATATACATCAGTGGATTCATAAATTGATAGCTGGGCAGAGTTATAAGTTAAATTTTAATCTAAAATTAAATTAAAATGTTTTTGCTTCATGATGATGTAATGGTTACTAAGACAGTCTGATAGAAAGATAGATAGATAGATAGATAGATAGATAGAGACAGACAGACAGACAGATATGAACAGACTGAGACAGACAGACTAATAGATGAACAGACAGATATAGACAGACATGATCCGAATGAGACAGGCAAACAGATATGAAAAGATTAAGACCACCAGACAAAAAGATTGATAAAAACAGATAGACAGATATGAACAGACTGAGACCAAGATACAAATATGAACAGTCTGAGACTGACAGACAGATGTGAACAAACAGAGACTGACAGACAGATGTGAACAAACAGAGACTGACAGACAGATGTGAACAAACAGAGACTGACAAACAGATGTGAACAAACAGAGACTGACAAACAGATGTGAACAAACAGAGACAGACAAACAGATGTGAACAGAGACTGACAAACAGATGTGAACAAACAGAGACTGACAAACAGATGTGAACATACAGAGACAGACAAACAGATGTGAACATACAGAGACAGACAAACAGATGTGAACAGAGACTGACAAACAGATGTGAACAAACAGAGACAGACAAACAGATGTGAACAAACAGAGACAGACAAACAGATGTGAACAAACAGAGACAGACAAACAGATAGATAGATAAAAACAGACAGTGAGATAGATAAAACAGATAAAAACATACAGATAGATAAAACAGAGATATAGGTCAATAAAAACATTTAGACTGATAGATAGATAGATAGATAGATAGATAGATAAAGATTTCCTCCTCTAATTAAAGGATTATCTGCTAAAACTGTTATTGAATAGTAATAATCACATAAAGAAATAAATATTTAGTAATACTGGTTCATGAAGTTTCAGTAATTTTTAGATAATTTAAAAATCTCAAACAAGTGGAAATATCTTATTTAAAGTTTTATTGTTTTTGTTTTATCCATGTTCAAAATTTGACTAATTTTGCTTTTTCATTCACTTCCTGAATCCTGTTCATATCAGCGAATGGTTGGTCGTTATCCAAGTGTAGCTTAAAAAGGGTGTGTCTACAAATGTTTTTGCAAGAATAACAAAGGGAATGGCTCGTAACCTGAATAAAATATCTTACTTTTTCTGCTGTATTTGTTCACCCCTTATAGATCTTTACCCCTTCTAGATCTTCACAAAAAGGTGGGGAAATGGAATATAAGTAACAAGATAACATAAAGAAAGGGCATAAAAACAACACATATATATACATACATTTTTATATAATTGACTGATTATGGGCGCATGGCTGAGTGGTTAGAATGTTCACATTCTGGTTATGAAACCCGGGTACAAATTTTATCATGGTTGACTTATCAGGAAGGAGACTTTCTAGTTTTATTGGACTGGAGGAGTCGATCCCAGCGTGCAGCACATTTGGAAAGTGCCTGAAAATCCTACCAAGCCTTGTGAGTGAAACTAGGTAGACAGAACCCTTGGAGGCCATTGATAGTTTTGTTAGCACAAAGCCACAAGTCATTGTGGCCAAGGGCTTGAGCATACTGGCATTGTTCAAATTGTTGATAACACTAGATAACACGCTCTTTCCCAGAAACTGTAACTAAGGTCTGCTCAGCATAGTTGCAGTATAAACCACAGGTGGGCTCCGTGGGTGTTGAATAAACACAAATACGCCTGAGCAAGAGTCTGCAATGGGGATTGGCTAGCTGCCATAGTAAATGGGTTTCTTCGAATACGACTGGCCAGCTATACTATACTTCTATATTAGACTGATACAACAATTATCAGCATTTTTTTAACAAAATCTTTCATTTATATAAATTCAGAGCATCATTATTCAGTCACTAAAGGATTTTCCTTGGCTTTTTAAGACCTTATGCCACACTTCAGTTAAATTGTATATTCAATTATAAAAGAATTATTATGGTTTTTATGAATACTTCAAGATGTTTTTGGAACTGTATATCTTTTCTGTTTATTCCAACTGATACTGGTTTAAAATTAAACTTCTATCACAAGTTAACAAAAATAAAATAACCTCATACATTTACATACAACAAAACAATAAGTCTGCATCTGGGAAGGGCCCGTACATACGACCTGTGACCTCTACCCAACGTAGAGGGCAAGGGATCCTGATTGGAGGCCCCATGCAGTGCTTTGTGACCCTCGCTATCTTATCAATATTTACTTTGACAGATAATTAGATTTTTATATTTTACAAATTAAACTAAGCACAACAAAACATTAAAGGATGATGAATTTTCGTAGATTTAGATGTCATTATAGGGGGGGTGTCCAAATCCATGAATTTATTTTGCTCATGCTAAGTCTCAAAAACACTATATAAAATTCGCTAGTTTTCATCCATAATGTTGAAAATTGATATTAGAAATTTCTGCAAAACATTGTTGATTTATTTACTCCTGCCTCAAAAACAAATCTAGTGTCACTGACAAAACTAACCTGGCCGCTCGTCTTGAAATGGACCTCCAATCGGTTGTTAATTGGGGCAAGAATTGGCTGGTCAACTTTAACGCCTCAAAAACTAAACTACTCTCTATTAATCACCATAGAGATCCTTCCCTGCCCCTCATTAGAATGTCTGATAGTCAACTTCTTGAGAGCAACTCTCTGCGTCTGCTCGGTCTCACATTGACTGCTGACCTGAGATGGAACAAATACATTGAGTCAATTGCTTCGTCCACTGCAAGGAAAGTTGGTTCTCTGTGCTGCAACAGGAAATTTTTCTCCCCAAAATCGATACTTCAAATATACAAATCAACCATTCACCCTTGCATCAAGTATTGCTGCCATATATGGTCTGGTGCACCTTCTGTTTACCTCGGAGTTCTTGACAAGATCCAGAGGCAGATATGTAATATAAATGGTCTTGATCTGGTATCTCGTCTACAGTTGCTCTCTCACAGATGTGCTGTCGCCTCTCTCTGTCTTTTTTACAAATACTTTCATGGTAATTGCTTCGATGAGCTGCTTTCACTGGTTCCCAGACTTCATGAATTCAAGCGCCCTACGAGGCTGGCATCCTGCTCTCACCCTTTCACTGTAGAAACTTTTAAATGTAGCCGTCTCTTCTACTCCAATAGCTTCATACCCTGCACCTCTTGCCTGTGGAGCACCCTTCCCTATTACTGTTTCCCTGAGAGCTATAATCTCCAACTATTCAAATGTAATGTCAATCGACATCTCCAGTTACCTTGATCTATCCACTATCCCTCTCCTCATCCTATCACTCCTATCTGCTCTCACTCCAAATCTTCTGCAACCCCCTGCATCCTAGTGGCTTCACGCCTTGCTCGGGGTGTAATGCTTAAAAAAAAAAAAAAAATTTAAGATAGAATGATCTATTATGTTATGTCTCTCATTTGTATTTAGATAAATTGTATTTATTTTCCATTTTTCTAGTTGAATTGTTCACATTTAGTGCATATGATCCTTATTGTACATAATTAGGTTACGATAAAATTTATATTTTATATGAATAATACCTTATGAAAATTGAGATGTAGTAGAGTGGGGGGGCCGTATAATAGATTCAGAGTGGGGGAATCATAGATTGTGGGTGCACGAGACCCTTGCACCAGTCCTGCATTTGGGGTAATTATTATCTACCCAATGAAGAAAAATACATTAAAAATGTTTTTAAAAATCTTCTCGGTATTTTATATATCTTTGATGGCTATCTATTAGAGCAGCCAGTTAATCCCTGTTGCAGAAGCCTGTTAAGGCACATTTGTGTTTGTTCAACACTCACAGAGCTCACCTGTAGTTTATTTACAGTTTCTGGGAGAGAGTGCATTATCTAGCCAACACTCTGAAAGCCTCAGTCACGATGACTTGTGACTTTGTGCTAGCACAACCATTGACAGCTTCCAAAATGTTCAATCTACCCAATTACACTCGTAAGGCTTGAGGCAATCTGTGGTATGGTTTTCAGGCAAATTCCAAAGCTGTTGTATGCTAGAATTGCTTCCCCCAGACTGATTACTTCAAGAACTTACCTTCCTGACAAATCAACAATGGTGAGATTCAAACCTGGGTTGGATATAATGCCAAGAGAAAAGCATACAAAATCCACAAAACCAAAAAGAGAAAAAGAAAGTAAGAACAGCACAAAAACTGGGCAAATTATTTTTCTTACAAAACCTCTAACAAACGAATTGTCCAGATTTTTATGAACCACAGATCTTCTGAATCTTTTCCAATAAAAGAAGCACTTGGCATAATAGAGCAGGTTAATTTTTTATTTTTTTAAAATCAGTTTTGCACTCAGTGTGAAAGGAGGGGTGTGATTTGCTAAGTAGTAACACCAAAAATTAGATTCATAGCTATTACCAATTTTGGGTCAAATTATTTTGCTTACAAATTAATGAATTTAAAAATAAATTTATCTAATCTCAATAAAAGAAATTCTAACAAGCAGTTCAAAAACGGTTAATAATTAAACCACGGTAAAAAGAGAACTAAATTTACATTAGAATCAGAGTCTACCAAATATAGAGTACGATGGGTAAATTGTTGGCATATTACATTTTAAATTTCATGCATGTGCATTGTTTGTTTTTTATTTTGTTGACAGCACAGTATAGCAGGATCAGTTAGGCACCGTTTGTGAGAAAAAAGTGCACCATGATGCAATTCATTGCACCAGAAATTTGGAAGCGGCATGCTGTACTGCTTGGCATTTGCACCGAAAGTTCCAGTGCATATATATAATATATCATGCAGAGAGACATGTGAAGAGCCTAGGTAAAACTTTTAACAGCTCCTTAACGGACACTTTATCCATCCGATTGATAATCTCTGAACTGGAAGTATGGCTTGCCAAGGTGGACAAGTCTGGACTTCCGGGCCGTTTCAAAGCGTGAATTTACCAGCACGTGGTGCTCTCAAGAATTCACTGGCCTTTGTTTATATACGATTTCCCAATGACATCAGTGGAGGCCATGGAAAAGGAGAATTAACAGCTACCTTCGCAGATGGCTGGGACTGCCGAGAAGTCTGAGTAGTGCTGCACTATATGGCAAATCAAATGCACTCCAACTCCCTTTTAAAGGGTTGGTGGAGGAATTTGTAGTTTCTAGAACAAGAGGATTCCTACAGTACAGGGACTCTAAGGACCCAAAAGTGGCGGCAGCTCGCATAGAAGTCCGCAATGGAAGGAAATGGAGTGCAGAGGGCGAATTGGGTATTGCGGAGGAGTGTTTAAGGCAGAAGGCTCTCATGGGGACAGTGGCATCAGGTCATGCGGGCTTGGGCTTCTTTCCTGGTACCCGAATCGAGAAACCTAGAGGTAAACAGAGACGACAACTAATTCAAGAGGAAGTACGAGCCAATGTTGAGGAAAAAAAGATTATGCAAGATGGTCGGACTAAGCCAGCAGGGTGCATGGACACGTTGGGAAAATTTTTTTATGGCGGAAAATAAGTTGGTCGGAGATCTGGCACTCCAACGCCAGTCGCATTAAATTTCTAGTGCAATCCGTGTACGATGTACTACCGAGTCCTGCAAACTTGCATACTTGGGGGATGCGCGAGTCGCCATCATGCCCACTCTGTGCCAGGAAAAGTACGCTCAAACATATTCTAAGCGCTTGCCCGAAGGCACTTGGTGAAGGAAGGTACCGGTGGAGACATGATCAGGTACTTAGGAAATTAGCCGAAGTAGTGGCCGCAGCAATTAGCGATTGCAGTTTTAAGCCCGAAACAAAGGCGATCTATTTCATCAAGGCAGGTGGAAACTCCTCCACGGTGCGTAAATCCTCAACCTGCATCCTCTCTTCTGCCCGAAATTGGCAGCTAAGAGTAGACCTGGGGAGCTAGTTGAATATCTCGGAGCAGATAACGACATCGTCCCTGCGCCCGGATTTATTGGTCTGGTCGACTGTTTCTAGGCAAGTCATGATGCTCGAACTTATGGTACCTTGGAAGGAGAATTTGGAAGAAGCCTTTGAAAGAAAGCTGGAAAAATACCAGGAGTTACTTGAGAGATGCAGAGCTAACAAATGGCGGACTACCTGTCTCCCGGTTGAAGTCGGATGTCGTGGTTTTGCAGGAAGATCCATATGCAGTGCTCTAAGTCGGCTTAGAGTCAGGGTAGTATAAAAACGGAAAGGCCATCGGTGCTCTATCAGAAGCTGCAGAGAAAGCCTCAAAATGGCTATGGATTAAAAGATCTGTTCCATGGAGCTCTACGAGGGGGATTGGTGGGCGTTGAGGGGCAGTTAGGAAGGAAAGAAAAGGGATATGTAGATAGGCAATGTGGGGAGGGTCCTTTTAATTTTTTATTTTTTTTATTTTTACATATTTTTTTTTCTCTTCACCTTTTTTCAACAATACCATCTTTGTGTTCCTAACTGGTTTTTTTTTTACATTCCTCGTCGGGAGGGGAGATAGGAGTAAAGAAAGAATAGAAAGAAGAAATGGCAGTGGCGGGAAAAGAAAGCAAGAAACGTTTCTGATCGTAATTCCTATGACCCACGAATGTGTTCGATATTTTTTTGGTGGTGGTGGTGGTGGGGTAGGGGGGGTTAAAGTGACACTTCATGTGAAGGGAAACTTTTCTTGTGATTACATACCTTTTTATGTCAGACTGTTCGTTGAGAATGTGGATCGTTCCGCGTGGTCAAGCTAAGATGGAAAAAAAGAAAAGAAAAGACGAGCATGCTGTCTTTTCTTTTTTTTTTGTATTGTCTTTCGCAGAGGAGGAAGTGACGTAAGTCATTAACGATTGGTCAGCAGTGGCATTTATATAACGAGTCCATTTGGTGCGTGTTTGGCATGTTTTTTTTTTTTGCTTTTGTTTTTTCGTTTTTTGCTTCAGGATCGCCCGCGGAAATAGTACTCTTGGTGAACAAGTATGATGTTGAAAAGACCCGAAACTTTTTAATGACCCCAAGTCATAAATATCACTGACAAGGCGGATCCTGAGCAAAGTGTTTTCCATCATCATATATATATATAGGTCATATAATTGATATATATATATATGTTATATATATATACATGTCCATATATATATATATATATATATATATATATATATAATATATATATATATATATATATATATATA